AGAACAGCACAAGAGAATCTTAAGGTCACCAGGGTGGGATCTGACCATGGCAGAAGGGACAGCTATAGCTTCTCCGTCAGATCATGTTGGCACTGCTTCAATAAGAAAACCATGACCAGTGTGTGGCCACTGTTTTGAGTCAGGCCATGAATGACCTGGGAGAGGCCTGTGAAGCCTTAAGCTGTCTCCAAGCAACAGCAAATTGAAATCCTCCAAGATCATAAGTTTGGGGAATTCCACAGCCAGCCCCTGGCCCCCAGCAACTTAAGCAGCAGAGAAGCTGACATAGTAGCAACTATCCCACCTGCTCCCGTGAGCCTATTTTCTGAAACAGGGTCTCACCACTGGAAACTTGTAGAGCAGTGGCCGTGAAGATCAGCAGCAATTTCCAGATGACAACTGCCACATCCCTCGTGTGCGCTGGGGCTCCACCTGGTTTCATACCCTAAACCTGGCTGGGCATATTTCACAGAGGGAACCCCCCTCTTCTTTCCCTATTGAAAGTGAGTGAGAAGCAGGGAGTTACCTATGCAGTTCCAACGGTAGGCCAAAAAAGTTAAAGGATTGCCTAAAATTACTGCAACGTTATTTGACATTTAGATGAACATTCAGAGACAAAAGCATATCCAGGTGTTTTTGCCCCTGAACGCTTCAAGTGCTTCTCTTTCAGCACTCAAAACTTTCATCACAACAACCCAGAAGTTTAAAAAAAAAAGAAAGAAAGACTGAATTTTCACTATCTTTCACTGTTGCCCCAGTGACTTTGGGAAATACTAAAGATGAATGCTGTACCCTACCCTTATTTGTTTCTTACTAGGTTTCTCTACACTATGGGGGAACTCCCTTGTCAAAGGGAAATTCAGGTGTCAATGGGAAATTCACATAGCAAGGGGGGAGCCCCTGACATGTGATGCATTTATGATGAAGGGGAGCTGTAAATAAAAAATGCCCAGATGTGGATTAGCAAACTTTTGCAGATGTAGAGAATTTAACTTGCTCTCCAGGTGGCAAATTTTCTCACCAAGGGTTCAGTTTTGGACAGTAGGAGATTTGAATAAGCTGGGGATCAGCTGGTATAGAGAACCCAGTTCAAAAGAACTGACTTTTCCTGCTGCCAGGACCGGTAGAACGGTCTCACTGTGCCCACAAACTGGAAGGAGCACTATATCCATATTAGCCTAAGAAGCCCAATAGGAGCTAGAATAATTCCATCCCCCAAAAATCACCTAACTGGGATACTGCCCAAATGGTTACTGAAGCATGTCAGATCACGTGTATCGTTAAGGTGCTATAGCTCGTGGCTTGCTTAAAGGGTAAAACACATCTTGGACAGCAGAAGAACTAAGGAAGATGAAGGGGACATGGAAGAAAAAAGAGATTATGATGGCACATTGGTGCTATGGTTAAATGCAAGTGGGCAAAGGCATATGTAGTTAAGGCCCTTTTTTCTATCATCACAATTTTGGCATCTCTTCTTTCATGGTTTGTAATGGACTGTGAGAAGAACCTCGAGAGACAGGATGAACTGCTGCAATATGGCAACCCTCAGCCCACAAAAGCGAGGGGGTTGAGAAAGTGTCTCACAAGAGACCCTCCCTATTTCTCTGGAAAGTAAAGGCAGGGAGGGGGAAGCATGTTCAGATTTGTAAGATCCTGTTACTGTAACCTTATACCATGTTTCCCTGAAAATAAGCCCTCCCCCGAAAATAAATCCTCCTCTGAAAATAAGCCCTCCCCCAAAACTAAGCCCTCCCCGAAAATATTTAACTGCCTGTGCAGCCGGTCCTTGCCATTTCCTCTGGTTAGGGTTAGGGAGACACAGCTGGAAATCAGGTAAGACGGCAAGAGGAGCCCCGTCTTGCTCCATGCACCCCAAAATAATAAGACCTCCCTGAAAATAAGGCCAGGCGCTTATTTCAGGGTTCAAAAAAATATAAGACAAGGTCTTATTTTTGGGGAAACATGGTAAATAAAAGTAGAATTACTGGTCATGGTTTTGGTTTCTGTTCTGGACTACGGGACTGGCACAATTCTGTGCTGCTATACCTTTGAAACACTTTAAAGCTCTAGGGAATTTATTTTATTTTATTTATTGCATTTTTAAACTGGCCATCTCCCTCACAGAAGGACTATGTGTTTAGTTATATGTAAGCCCCATTGTTTTTCCCATCCCATCCCATCCCAGTTCTCTTTCTCTGCCTCCCATTCTCCCTCCCACCCTCAGCACAAAATACATCAATACAGAAGGGAGAGTTTTGCATAAAAGAAGAAATCCAGAACATGAGAGAGAAATATTATTAATTGCACCAACATTCTTTGACAATTTTAACAACTTTTCCTGAAGCATCTGAATTAGGTTTGTTGTCTCCTTCCAGCAAGTGACTCTAATAATTGCAGCAGAAACTTCAGAGCCAAGATGGAATCAATTATTTTGTCAACTAAAGTTATGACTGCCCCTCCAAAAGGGTAGAAAAATAACACCTGAAGTGCCTCTAGAGTTGCAGTTGATTTCTTCTCTTTCCTTGAATATAACTTGCAAAATTGCAGATCTCTTTTAGATGCCAGCTCTTGAAACATTTCCAAGACAGTGTTAAACATTTCCAAGACAGTGTTACTCCTATGTAAGAACAGTTGAAGTGTAAATTTTTGAGCCAATTCACAATTCCACCTGATCCACTTAAGGAAAATTTGATCTTGATTTTTCAGTGAGCCCACATACTGTAGAGAGAGGAAGGAATGGTCCTGAAAGACAGGAGGAAAAGGCAAGTCAGATAAAAGTTGCCTGAGTCTGGCCAAGAAAGTAATAAATGTCTCAGACAAGCCCTTCCCTGGTTCACAAGATAAAGGGAGGGAGGGGGAAGTGCATTCAGACTTGCAAGCTTCTGTTACTAAAGTTGTTGCAATAAAAATAATCCCAACCCATATGGCATTGATTTCTTAGTCTGGTCTATCTTGAGCGGCTAACACATATATTTCCATGTAGTTTCCTTGGCAACCAGGGGCATCCATAGAATCTGATGATATGCATTATGATGTTGCAACCCAAACTCTTCCCTGTGTGTGTGAGAGAGTACACAGCACATACAAATGCTAGTTTTCCCATTTACCACATTTTGTTCTCCGGTGGACAATGGCAATTGTTTACCATTGCCTACTTCAAGGATATTTTTGTCTTTTTAATCTAGTCTTCAATTCTGGGATTTTGTAGTGTCACCCATCCATGGACTAAGCAAGCCTTCGTTAGTGTGTGATGTTTACTTTCTTCTCTGTTTACATTAATAATCACAATTCTCCCAAAGGTGTTTTTTCAAAAGGCAACTAGATTTTGTTTTTCCTTGAAGACGTTTCACTTCTCATCCAAGAAGCTTCTTCAATTCTTCAGAACAGAACTGAAGAAGCTTCTTGGATGAGAAGTGAACCATCTTCAAGAAAAAAACAAAATCCAGTTGCCTTTTGAAAAAAAACACCTTTGGGACAACCATGAATGACTGAGAACCTCTATAGGCAATCACGATTCTCCAATTATAAGGATTAAAGAAGGCAGTCCTTCATACTACCTGTAATTAAATGAAACAAACTGCTACAATGCATAATAAAAGCAGATGTCACGAGAGATAGCAATGGCCTCCAGGAGGTTTACAGTATGACTTTAACAAAGAATGAGACACATGCATGAAAAAAGTTATATGTATCCATTATGTATCCATAATGACTTTAATGGAAGTTCTAGATTCAAAGCTAGCATGGAACCTAGCTTGAAAGAAAACTACAAGGATATCAGTTATGTCAAGCAGGCAATTGTTGCCTGGTTTCAGGACTGAAAAATGCAGGGCATAAACTGTTCAATCATGGAAAGGTGAGAAAAGCAGCACTGGAATTAAACTACAGTAGGTACAAAACAGGATTGCCCTGGCATATTGACAGAGAACAATCATTTTAGTAACTTCATTTTAGCATGCAACAGTAGTTCTTATCTAGCCATGTCATGTTATGCTATGTGTCTGAAAGTTTATTCAGGTTTGATCCTAAGAATCTAGTCAAGTATCCTGAGCTATTGATCAAATTACTGCATAGCAAAATCCTAGGAAGCCACATCTGGATTTCCTAAGGCACCTGGCTGGATACTGGATACTGGAATGAATGGTTCCAAATTCTCACCTGAACAGTTTGAATTGAATTGTCCTCTCTGTGGTATTAAGCCCATATATGTGGTTGACAATTATTAAATCATCCATTAATGTAATCATTGTTTATGTGAGTGAGTCAATGTATGATAGGACTTTACCCAATCATTTAAATATTTTGAACAAGAATGGCAGAAAATTGTGTGACGGCATTGTAAAATATGAGCAAATAAAGCAAGATGTTTTTGAAAAATTTTTTACTAACGGTTCTGTGGGCGTGGCTTGGTGGGCATGGCAGGAGGATACTGCAAAATCTCCATTCCTACCCCACTCCAGGGAAAGGATACTGCAAAATCCTCATTCCCTCCCCACTTCTGGGGGAAGGATATTGCAAAATCTCCATTCCCACCCCACTCTGGGGCCAGCCAGAGGTGGTATTAGCTGGTTCTCTGAACTGCTCAAAATTTCTGCTACCGGTTCTCCAGAATCTGTCAGAACCTGCTGGATTTCACCCTTGGTTTATAGTCATAACCAAGATCGATCCTTTATCCATTATTTGGCAGGAAGGGGTTTGGTGACAAAAGTTCACTAAAAAATGAAGAACTCAATGGCTGTCAGGAAATCAGGTTATGCTGAGAAGAATTACCCAAATTTTCTAGAGTGAAGCAAATGTCATAAATTCATTCTGCCACCACAATATGGATGAAATTGCCTCAAAATATTAGTTTTTCCTGACAACCACAGTTAATCCGTAGCTTTCAGTTAGTGGTCCTGTTGAGGATTCTTCCCTCCTCATGAAGTATATGTACTATGTATACTACGACTTGCTAATGTTGAAGTTAAGATCTTTAAATTTTGGTCTCTCTTGTGTTTTAGAGGATGCACCTGGTGCTATCTAAATTGCCAGCAAGAAGAAAAAAATCCCATCTGATGGATGGCATATGGGATTATTACTGCAAGTTCATCTCAGTCAGTAACTGAACAATTATTGGGAGTTGATGTCTTATGGTAAACAGCTTTACTAGATTTTTTTCAACTGTGAGATATGAAAGCAGTTAATAAAGATTACCGAGTCCTGCACTTTGAATTGTGCTTCTGCCACCTATCAATTGATGATGCAGTGCTGGCAAAGGCAGACAAGCATGCAGCATAATCATCATCATCATCTAAAAGTCAAAGGCAGGAGAATATTTTATAGTAGAAATATCTGTAAGAACAATATCTCACTTGTTCAAATCCCCAGCCTTGTGAACGCAGAAACAAACATGCTCTGGAACCGTTTGATACAGGTTTATTCAAGCCTGAGGCCTGGCACAAATGAGTACATAACAGTCCATTGCAAAGTCAGCGCTGGGAGCTACCACCTCCCAGCACTCTATATAGGCGACACCATGACCCTCAGTCCCACCCATGCAACCAGCATCCGGTGTTGGCATTCAGTTCCATGTTAGCAGTCCACCACCCAGTCTTAGGCTGCTGGCCTCCATCTGGCCTCCGACTGCTTCGCCCCGCACGCTGTTGCATCTGGAGCCAGCCAGCTGTGCAGGTGAGAATGCTGCCATTGCTTCCCTCGCCGCGTCCGCTGCAGCCGGAACAGACACTGTCCCAGCCGGGCACCTCGTCACTGCCCAGGTAACCGCTGCACCGTGTGGCTGTTCCTGCCGCCACAGCTATTTCTGCATTACCCCCTCCTTTCCAGGTATGGCAAGCCAAACGGGTCTTGACACAATACATAATAATAGTATTCATAGCTATGAAACCAGAAGTTCCTAAATAGACAGAGATTGCCCATTTTTGATAACAAAGGGGTACCTAACTAGATGATAATTATTTGTTCAGGAAAATAGGTTAAAGGATCAGTTCAGCCTGTAGCACCCCTGTTTTTAGAGATGTTGCAAAGTTTGACTGTCTTGAATCTCATTCCATTTTCAAATTATGAAGCAACTCTGAACAACATTGAGGTTTATAATTTTATTTATTAATTTTTAAAACTAACCATCCCTCTTGTAGAGGGACTATGGGCAGTGTACAAATAAAAATAAAGAGATAAAAACTTTCTGTGTTGATCTGACTTAGCTGAAGGGAGAAGAATATAAGCCAAACAACTATTACCCTTGTTTCCCCGAAAATAAGACTGGGTCTTATTTTCCTTTGGATCCCAAAATAAGTACTAGGGCTTATTTTCAATGGGTGTCTTATTTTTTCCCCATGTATGGGAGGCCCATTTCTTCTGCTTGCTCAGGGTGGGGCAGGAGGCTGCGCAGCACTAGCATGCCACCACTGCCATGAGGCAGGGCGATAGAGCTGCCCCACATGCCCTACACCGGCTTACTTCAAGGCCCCCACAGCCAGGCCACCCATGCCCGACACCTGTCTTGCCTCACAGCTATGGCACCAGCACACTACTTGGCCTCCTGCTCCATTGCAGCCATAAGCAAGCAAAAGTGGGCTGGCAGCCATTGGGCTCCTGCTGCCATGGTTGTAGGTGCTGCTACCGCGAGGCAGTTCTCAGGGCATGGAGAGCCTGGCTGCAAGGGCCCTGAAGTGAGCGGGACAGCTCTACCACCATCCCACCTCGCCTCGTGATCGTGGCACCACAAGTAACAAGATGGAATGGGCAGGTGGGCAGCTGCACAGGCACTTAAATAGGGCTTGTTTTGGGGATAGGGCTTTTATTACATGCGTAAAACATGCTAGGGCTTATTTTTGGGATAGGTCTTATTTTCAGGGAAACAGTACTGCTCCTAGTTTTCAGAGGCTACTGGTTAGACCTCTTGGTTCAAAGGGCAATTCAAGCATCCAACTGAGAGATGTCTTCAGCCCAACTACCGATTTATGTAGTTATAGCTTGAGCTATAAGAAAGGGAAAAGGAGTGTGCCCATACAATCTCTGGCATGGTTGCAAAGACTACATCCGTGTAGGTGCTTCATCACTTCCCTCAGTTGTCCTGGAGATATGATGTGTAGTTAAGCTAAACTATAACTCCCAACATGAAGCTCACTGCAAATTCAAAGGGTTATGTACAGCCCACTTGTAGGGCACTAAACTGAGGAAGATTGAACACATACATCTTTATTTATTTATTTATTTGTTCAACTTGTATTCTGCCTTTCTCCGAAGACTCAAGGCGGCTTTTCTCCAGTGACATTATCTTTCTATCCTGCTTAATCAGCAATGGAGTCATCTAAGCTTTTAAATATTAACTAAAACAATTTTTAGTTGTTTCCTTTAATTGTAGATTTTTAAAGTATATGTAGGTGTTTTATCAGTATTTTGCATTAAAATATTAAAAATGTGTTTCAAGAAATTGGGGGAAAAATTTGCACGATAATACAAAATATGCCTTTTGTGACCTCTGCTTAGATCTGTTACCTGTTAATGGAACTTGCATTGCATTTAGGATACTGTGGGAAAATAAATAATACTGAGAACTGAAGGTTCTCAGTAAAAATATTTACTGATTTTTTTCCCACTGTAAATAGCAGATAGGGGAAAAAACGTGCTGTATACCACAAATACAGATACAATCATGATATGAGAAAAACGCTAAAATGTATGGTTTTTATAAAGAACCAACAGAACTAGACCAGATATTAACAGGCGTGGATGAAAAACTAATTAAAAATATATATAACTATCTATTGAGCATTAAAATGGAAGAAGAGCAAGTAAAGGAGATAATGATAGCATGGCCCAAAACTTTTGGCTACACAATAAGGTAGAGGTAAAGGTTCCCCTCACGCATATGTGCTAGTCATTCCTGACTCTAGGGGGCAGTGCTCATCTCTGTTTCAAAGCTGAAGAACCAGTGCTGTCCGAAGATGTCTCCATGGTCATGTGGCCGGCATGACTAAACACCAAAGGCGCAAGGAACGCTGTTACCTTCCCACCAAAGGTGGTCCCTATTTTTCTACTTGCATTTTTTACGTGCTTTCAAACTGCTAGGTTGGCAGAAGCTGGGACAAGTAATAGAGTTAGATAAATGGCAAAAACTGTGGGATAGGAATTATAAACTAACAATGTCAACTACATATATAGAAAATCTTTATAAAATGTTTTATAGATTGCATTTTTCACTGACAAGATTGGCAAAGATGTTTAAGGACATGTCCGCTAAATGTTGGAAATGTAATCAGATACCAGGTTTGTATTATCATATGTGGTGGACATGCCCAAAGGCAAAAAAATATTGGAAAAAAATACATAGAGGGTTGGAAAAAATGCAACGTATAGATCTAAAACCAGAAACATTTTTGTTGGGCATGTTACCGGAAAAATACAATAAAGGGAATACATACTTAATTTTACATGTGTTAACAGTAGCTAGAATTGTATTTGCACAACAATAGAAAAGTGAAGAGATTCCCTACAGAGGAAAATGTAATTAAAAAAAATATTAGAATGTGCAGAAATTGATAGATTAATACTTAAAATTAAGGAAAAGGAAGAAACTGAATACACTTTAACATTTTATCAATGGTTAACCAGTAAAAACAGAAGTTAGAAATATGGAAATGTAAGAGAAGGATTAATTTCATAAGGAAGGTTTATTAAAATGGATACGCAAATACTATTATTATTATTATGTGATCAATACTAATGTGATGAATATTATTGTTAATATTATGATTACTGTTTCTCAAAATCAATTGTACACAAACAACACACTGTTTATTCAGAAATGGAATTTTTTATATTTAATAAAAACTTTTAAAATGGTAGGGGGGAACTTGCTGTATTAAAAATTTTGAAGATGCCAGGTATGGGTGGATGAATGAATACGATTTACGTTCATATTGAAACTGAGTTACCTAATGTAATTTCATAGGCAATAGTGTGGTATTTGATAATATAGTTTTTATGAATTATTGGAACTGAAAAGTAAGGAAGAGTTACATCTTAGCACTTTTGACTTTTAAATCAAATAAAAGGAAACATTTTAATCTTATATTCAGAATTTGATCTAGAAATCTTTATAGATATTGTTGATTGCTCAGAATTTAACTCTCTGTAATTTGTTTTTCAAAACTATTGCTATAGAAGTCAACATGTTGCTGTAACAATGGCTGGTAAATTTCTACTTAAATGCAAGATCAGCTCTGCTCCAGATATAAATGCCATCTCACGTTCCCTATATGTAAATAAAAATGATTACTATTACATTTGCATAAAGCACTGTCATTTCTGGTAAAATGTTTGCAGGTCATAATTTTACAGAATCTATTATAAATATGTTTGACTATGCAGTAATTTGTATGTTACTTATCAGTACATTTTAATATATATATATATTAACTATTAAGAGTCCATGCTAGCCATTAGTACTTTATAATTTAAAACATAATTCTCTTATTTTCCTTTTTTACTCAAGTAAAATTTTACTGAATTTTACATTGCTGTACTGAAAGATGCAGTTATCTGTACACAGTTTAATTTCAATGGCAAACTTTGGTTTATACTTCTATTAGAATGAATTGGATTAAAGAGTATACTATGTGGCTTTCTTTTGTCCTTAATTTTCCATAATTGGGCTTTTCTGTATTGCAACCTTAAACATTGTGTGTTTCAGATTTCATCTCTTTTCTCTGGTTTGGACACAGTGGTAGTCTGAGGTTTTGTCTGGTCCTTGCTTGCCTTGGCTCTGAATTGGTGGCTTCACCTGGTTCTTTACCTCTCGCACCCATGACAGGAAAGTATACACCAATCACTTTGGTTTTCCTTAGCAAGCTTTTCAAGTCTGTAGTTTCAGATTTATAATTTTTATATGAGTCCTCTCCAAACTCTTCTCCTTTTATTTGACACTTTCTATCTGACTTGTTTACCAATGGACCACTTCAAAGAACTCATCAATGTTACCGATATAGGTCTAAAACAAGGGTGCCAAACTGGATTTTTTTGAGGGCCAGATCAACATTGTAGCTCTCCGTGAGCCGGCTGGGGGTGGTGGTAGATGGGATAGATGCCTCCCGCAGCAATTTGTTGGCCAAAACAGGACACGGGGGGCACGGGTGGTTTCTACTTATCTTTACTACCAGTTTGCAACGGGACCGCGCGTACATAGATAAT